AAGTTCATATGTGTCATTCAATGCCGATGCTATTTGTAATCTCTTGCAAGGAAGTTCTATCCCGAAGGTTTTAGTAATGCTTTTGAATTCGAGTGACAACACTATGCTCATGATGTGATTCATGATACAAAGTTTCGAGTATCTACACTTGTTGAATTAATTATGTGAGCAGTTGACTAAGAGCAAAAGATCTGTTTCATATGTTATGATCAGCATATTGATTCGCTTTGTATTGATCTTATTGTTTTCACTACAACAATAGAATGATCATTTTCTGCCGTGAAACTTTTAAAGACAACACTCCGCGACAAAATGGATGATGACTTTTTTGTTAATTGTAATACACTTTATATTGAAAAAGGTCATACTCTTAGTGTAGATGTAGACTCTATAATTGACGAGTTTTTTTGTTTCAAAGCTTCGTCGAGAACAAATTTAGTGGAGAACTCTTATACTCCCTCCGTCCCAGGGAGAAGTTCCCGGGTTGACTTTCACACATATTAAGGAAATAAAGTTACTGAGGGGTAAATTTTACTGTTTGGCACTGTTTTGACACTGTTTGGCACTGTTTTGACACTGTTTGACACTGTTTTGCACTGTTTGGCACTGTTTTGATGTAGGATAACTTTCCATTTAGGGAAATGGGAACTTTTTGTTGGGACTGCCAAAAAAAGAAAGTGGGAACTTGTCCCTGGGACGGAGGTAGTATATTTTTTTTTTGCTTATTTTGAAATTTTTTAATGTATTATCAATTAAGTTTTTCAGCCCAGTCCAACATGAAATCCTGGATCCGCCCCTATGTTACAAATCAAATCTAGTAAAAATCCTATTGATCTCTTCGCCAAATAATTAACCTCAAAGAAATTTAAGGAATTTGTAGAAAATTGGACCATGTCACCTTCGAGGTTTATGCTATGTCCAAGGAGAGTATTTGTATGCACTACATTCTTATTTTCCTTCAACCTAATTTTATCCCTACGAGTTTTTCCTAATGAGATTTTTAGCGAGTACTACATCCAAATATAATGATATTATATGTTATACTCTTTCCTCTAAATTTTAGTTTCAATTCCCCACTAGGTTTTTACAGTATTTTTTTAAAGGTGACTTATACTCATTCAAGGATTAACGTTCAAAGGAGAGTTTTATAAAAGTATTGGACATGATAAGTGTGAATTGTACATCCTTATAATTATATACGAGTACTTTTCATCCTTATAACATAGTTAGCCAAATGACTCAATTTGTTATTGCCACCAAACTTATAAATTCTATATTAGACGACTCATCATTAAGTCCAACCACTATTTCTCTCCTTTTGTATTTGAGGCCAAGTTTCATGTACTCCTCTCCCATTTCATTTCAAATAAAGCATCATTTTCCTTGAAAAAAACCCACTAAAAACCCATCTCATGTAAATTAATGGGTTTTTTCCGAGAATATTATTTAAAACTTATTTACATAAATATGACTATTCATTACTACAATGTAGTGCTATGGTAACTAAAGTTCAAAACTTGAACATGAATTACTATGATTTCATTACTACTCTAGTAATGAATCATATTTTTGTAAACCATCTTTATTTTGTCATATTTATGTAATTATTTCTAAATTAATTCAGAAATCTTAATACAAGAAGGTACAGAAATCTTAATTCAGAAATCTTAATACAAAAAAAAAGTTTATTCTTTGAACTTTAATACATATCATCTTTATACATGATATAAATAATCACTTTATGTGTTCGTTTGGTAACATTGAAATTGACTGAATCGGCTTAATGTGCTGAAATTTCTGAAATTCTGGTTGATTTGACTGAATCTGCTGAATAATGAAAAAATATGTTCAAAAAATATTTTATTAAAAAAATTAAGAAAAAATTACATGTAGCTAAAATGGTTTCTAAGTAACTTTAGCAAGAAAAGTAACTTCAATCTTACTTTTTTAGTTATTACACAATTTAGCAAGCGAAAACAAATATTACGTTAATAAAAAAGACAACTGATAATTAAGCTGAAAATAAATGTTACCAAATGGGCTCTACATCACTTTGCTCTCATTTCACAATATGCACCCTAATAAGCTTTACACATTTTAAACAAGTACCATTATTTTGAATAAAGTAATCACGTTTATAATGAAAAAAAAGGTCAATTCATTTAAATAGGCAAAAAACGTCTGCTCAATGTACTTTACAAAAAACGGACAAAAACATAAATTTCTCATATTTTCCAAAAAATAGAAGCATGAATTGACATTTGAATGAATGCAATAAATGCATACGAGATCAACATAGTTTAATGAAAAATGAAAAATGAAAACACATTCTCCTAGTGATCTTGTGTTTTGTGTATTGTTACAATACAATATACAATTATTAACTACTAATATTAAATGTATGACAACTACAACTAGCATCCTAAGAGCATCTACAATGATTAGCTAAACATGTGGTAGCTTTGCTTGCCACATCATTTTTTTTTCTAGCTAATCCATGTGTTAGTCCAATGGTTAGCCATATTGCTTGCATCTTAAACAGGCTCCACAAATCAATCAATGAATTGATTTATTAATTTAATATTTTTTTGAAATATTTTCAAATCTATTAAAAAGTTGAATTCACAAGGAAACATAACCAAACTTTTAACAAATGGATCAAGTTGGTCGTCAACTGTGATTTTGACTAAACATTAATCTAGCGCCCAACATTAAGAACCTGTTTGGTAACACTGAAATTAGTTGAATCGCCTGATTTTGCTAAAATGTATGAAGTTTTGGCTGAAGCAGCTGTATTGGCTGATTCTGCTTATTTATAAAAAAGTTATATTTAAAATATATTTTAGGAAAAATTGAAAATAATAATCCCAACTATTGCCGGTCCGCTGATAATAATCCCGACTATTGATTGTTTTTGTATAATCCCAACTATATGGACCGTCCGCCAATAATGGTCCATGACCAGATATTACCTCCTAAAAAGTAAATTTTAAATAGAAATTAAGTGTAAAAATTAAAAGTTGAGATTATTTATAGGGATTACTTGCTATATCTCTTTTCATCCACTTCAGAAACTACAAGAATTTATTTATAATAGGGACCATTATTGGCGGAAGGTCCCTAAAGTTGGGATTATTCTGAAATAATCGATAGTTGGGATTATTAGAAGCGGACCGCCAATAGTTGAGATTATTACTATCAATTTTTCCTATATTTTATTAACAAAATAAAGAAAAAATAATATGAAAATAGCTAAATGGTCATCTACAGTAACTTCAACCAATACAACCAGAAAAGTATCTCCAACTTTACTTTTTCTTATAATTACGCAATTCAGCACGTGAAATCAAAAATTACGTGTTTCATTAAAAAGTTCATCAGCCTGATAAGCCGAAAACAGAGTCATCAAACGGGCTTTAAGACGGCAAGGTTGAAAATGCAAATTATTAAAATTAGTACAATAACATGTATTTTGTTAAGTAAAAGAATAAGGAATATCAAATTTGACAACACAAACATACAGAAAAATATCAACTTTTGCTTAAATATTTCAGAGGAAAGGATCAATTGAGTACATCAACTTGTATGAGGTGGAGTAAAGAGTACACTATATTGCATTTGATCTTTTTAAGTACACAAACTTGGTTTTTTAGTGTTAATTGAGTACACTCGTAAGATTAACATGTTAATATGACTGAGTTTGCTAACAGAATGCGGAGTAAGAAGGGATAATGAACCAAGGTTATGGCGCCAACCTTCGGAGTCGACCAAAAAGAGAAGATCGACCTTCGGAGGTCGACCTATGGGGGGTGGGGGCGGGAGCGTCATCCAGCGGGGGTGCATTGACATGAAAAATAAGAGTACGTAGTGGCAAAAGAGATGGAGTAGGCGTTGAGAAAATATTGTATAACTAAATTTTCAAAGCATTATCTACATATAATAACGGTATGAGATTAAAATTACTTTAAATTAATTTAATATATCAATTATAAATAAATTAAATATATTTGGTAATTACCATTTTAAATAAAGTTTATCTCCTTTCTAGCAATTAGCTTGTTTTGGCTAATTTGCTTGCCCAAGCTAGAAGGATAGATGCACTCCAATGGTAGGCATGTAGTTTGGAAATTGCAAGCAAGTCTCTAGAAGGAATCATTGGAGATGCTCTAATGACTAAAACTTAGAATACTATTAGGTTTCTGACATTTTACCAAAAATGTATCCTGAATTTAAGGGTTTTTAAATCCCGAAATTACGGTTTTAACAATAATAAACAAAGCAGTTGCACAAATTTTTCGTATGTCATTTGTCTAGCTTGCTGGTGGAGATGATGGCCATAAATTAACTTATTCATGCCAATAATAAGTTTTTTTTAGTAAATAAAATTTACATATTCAGAAAATACATTAATAGTTTTATAAAGTCGCAAAAAAAATCAAATTTGATAAAAGGTTGATATACAAATTAAGAATAATTTACGTTGACCGATGAATAGTTGATGAGAACCTTTACTTTGGATGGAGGCAGTTTTGTTTCTTTCTATCATCGGCTTATGCAATTACGAATTATTCTTTGATTCGCTATTTGAAAATGTGTATAATTTGATTTTTTTACTATAAGTTGTTTTGTGATGTTACTGATGTATATAGTTTAAATGTTTAAAACAAAAAAATGTTTTTTATCCATTTATATACAGATTCTACATTATACATGTATATGTATTTATGTGCTCTTTACAATTCTACGTTTTTTCAATGAATTTTTGACAATTTTTAATTCATATTATCAAATAAACATATGCATATCAATGATGTTTTTATCTGTACTAATTTGGTCTAATTTGATTTGATCTGTTTAGATTTTGTTTGTCTTGATTTGGTTAAAGTTTAGTCTGAACTAATCTAGTATGGTAGTCTGATCTCTCTATGTATGTTACAAAAGTGACAACTATCCAATTCTGGTTTAAATCTGATCTGGTCTAGGTTCTATGTTTACATTTTTGTCTTGCCGATCTAAATTTTCATTAGAGTCCGGCGGTCGGACCAACTGGGAAAATCAGAAATGCCGCAAACCCCAAATATTTGCGCATAGGAGAAACACAGAAAAGCCACCACTAACTCCCGGTAACTGGCCATAGGCGGGCGGCTGAGACGGTGAACCACCGGCCGGTCTCAGCTGGGTGAAGGTATGTTTAAATTCATCATGCATTTGGATTTAATTTTTAAAAATTTTACCATCTAGCTCCATTGTTTTCCGAGATGGCAGGAAATTCTGGGGGAAATGCGCGACCAGGAGGATATTCGTAACCTTCCGATTGATATCGCTTTCACTCGGCTAGGAGGTAAGGAAGATGGTTTATTGGTTTCGCTATTACCGACTATTTTTTTGGTATAGAAGAACTGATCCTCTGAGTTATTTTAGAATTGCCTGATTTACTAGTTTCTAAGTAAACGAACTGAATGTTTTACTGTTTACGGATGAAGAATGGTTGGTCGATCGAAAGAGGATTCCGGCGGATTGGCGGAAACGGTTGGCAGCTGTGAGAGCAAAAATAATGACGGCATTCGCTTCCATTCCAAAGGACTTGGATCCTTACTTTCTTACTCTCGAGGCTGAAGGTAATCGTCTCTTTATCTTTAAAATATAATGCAACCCCAGGAAGCATTTCTGTCAATAAACTACGTTTTTTTTGCTCTTTGAGATTTTGTTTACAGCTCACTATGTTCTGTATGCATTTGATATGTGAATGTTTATTGGATTAAGTTTAGCATAAACCTGTGGAATGTAAATCACCTGTGTTTACAAGCTAGATTTTTTTTTGTTTCATGAAGCTGTATAATTAAACAATTAATTGGCAGTCTGTCATCTGTGAGGTCTATGAATCATTTCTTTTACCTTAGATTTCTGTGAGGTTATTTGCATGAATAGTGAATAAAAATTCTGAATGTGTTGTGGCAAAACCATTTGTTTTTCTAACGTTTTTTACATTTGTTTTTCTAACTCTATTTGAGTTTGCTAATACAAAAAAAAAGAAACTTAAAGCTTGTTGGTTGAATTTATTTATTTTCTTTTATTTATGGTATTATTAGTATTACTTTGTTTTATTACCCAGCACTTCATACCAGAGTTGAATGACATGGGCTTGCTATTGGACTGTGAAATTGGAAAGAAAAAAAAATAAAACAAGGGGACATTCACTTCCCCATACAATTTTATGTGGTTAATGACTTAGTGTGGCTGCTGTTTTCAGCGGTGGCTGAGTTCTCCTGCGGTGAATGCTGGATTGCAGCTGCCAATGGAGGCGGTGCCTGCATTTTGTCCCCCCTTTTCTTCTTAAAAACTCATTTTTTAGGGGTTTAAAAAAATAAAAAATTAGTATTCAGATTTTAGATAAAAAGAGAGAAAATGTAAACCGTTCCTTTTTTTTTTAATTTTGGAAAACTGCAGGCATAATCACGTTTTAAGTTTCCCGATTCCAATTTTCTATAAAACTTGAAAACTGCTTAGCTTCACTTTGTCTGCCTCATTTCTGGAGCTGGGTTTATTTAAATTAAGTGGTAATTTGACTACAGAGTTTGCTTGAACAGCATTGCAAATAGAATTATTAAACCTCCTCACATTTCAACTAGAGTCTCTTGCCAGTACAAAGCTTGTCAAACTCTTATGCAAACCTTTCTGTGAAGTTACAACCATGTGCTTGGTCAGCTCAGTGCAAGCATGATGTTTCCACTTTTTTTTTTTCAGGAATCGGTTATTTAGAAGCCAAAGACGTGTATGAGGTTCTTCAGAAGTCAACCCCAGAAAGTCGCAATATCTTTGGGCAGCTTTCAGGTGCTGCTGTAAGATCAATGCCATCCCTCTTTTTCACTCTGCTCCCCCCCCCATGAAAGAAAATAGGACTTTTATTGTGAAGCAAACAACTGCTCTCAATTTTTACAGGGTATATGGGAAGCAATTGTACGTTCTTACGAGAAAGATCATATTTTTCTTGGTGAGGCTGCTCAGATAATGGTTCAAAATGTCAATTATGAAATGTAAGTACCCCCAATATTTTCAAGTGACGATAAATCAAAATATGAAGCATCTTGAAGGAGTGATTTGGATCCTCATATGATTGGCTGGTCTATTCTGTAGCCCCTACCACAAGAAACAGATTCAGAAGGTTCAAAATCAACTATCTGAGCTGGAGCGCAAAGAGGCTGATATAAAAAGACTTGCAGCTCTTTCAGCTGCTAAATTTATCGAGGCTTGTCAGGAGCTAGGGTTGCAGGTTTTTCCTTTTTCCGGAAAAAATGGTTGTGATTGTTTTATTTACTGCTCATATCTTTTTCTTTTCCCATTATTGAACTTGTTTTACGCTCCACCTTTCATTCAGGGACTAAATGTGAGGTCAGAGTTGTTAGAGACCGCAACAAGGACACTTCCGAGCACTTTCAGCAGAATTTTGGAAGTTCTGAATGGTGATTCTGTCTCCCAAGCTATTGATTATTATTCAAACTTTGTTAAGGAAGCTCACATAGAAAAGAATGTAAGAGCGCAATTGATTTGTATTGTTCTTCTAACTTACCCTTTGTTCTATAACAAGTTCTGTATTTACTTCTTACACTTTTGGCCTAATTTTTTCCATCATTTGCAATGGAGCCAAAGAATCACTATTTTTTGTCTTGGGAATATGATGGAATAAAGCAAAATGGCTCACTAAACTGTTTGTGCTTCTTTGTTATGAAGCAGCGGTCAGTCTATGCAATTTTAGACGCGAATTTCACTATGGGTCATCCGGAAACAGTCTTTTTGTGCTTTAGTACAGGGGTAAGACTGTGTACATCCGATCCCCCTTACCCCACCGTAGGTGGGAGCCTTTGCGGCACTGGGGTAATGATGATGATGACTTTCGGCCTAATTTTATTTTTGACCGCAAAGTATCTTGATTTCAGCATCCCACTTTCTAAACGATCTATTTTAGTCCCTATTATGTGTACCCAATTATTCCCTCCGTCCCAGGTAAATGTTCTCACTTGCCTCTTTTGGAAGTCCCATCTAAAAGTTCTTATTTCTATAGATGTATCATTTCTATTTTAAAAATAATACATTTATAACATCAGAGTGATCAATGACCTCATTATATTATATACCCACCCAAATTACTTCTCAAAATATACTCAAAATTACCTTATTTAATTAATCCAAAAAATGGTCCTACATATTAAAAATTTCACTAGGGAACCGATAAAATGAAATTGGGAACCTTAAGTCGGGATGTAGGTTGTACCTTTTATTTGGTCCTATGTATTCAAAATTCACAAGGGGGGCAATAAAATGAAATTGAGGACAAACTTTTGGGACTAAATGCTAGATTTAAATGTGTGTGTGGTGGTGGTGGTGGGGGGGGGGGGGGGGGGGCTAAATCGTCAAATCAAGATACTTTAGGGGTCAAAGCTACAATTGAACCTACATCATATTCAGATTGTTTCTGAAAAATAATTTCTAGCTTCTAGACAGATGTTATGATGGTTGTTCTGTGTGCTTGCAATATCATGAGCTATGTTGTTTTTTGTGGTTGCAGAAGACACCATGTGCTGTACTACAAAATTTGAGGGGTGCTCGAGAGAAATCACCATCCCTTAATGTATTTGTCAGCTCAGAGATACATGATGCTGAAACTGTGCAAACCAGTCACTATGGGGTAAGTCACGCTATTGCCGACGCAGACAGCGCAGCAGATGGCATTGATTGGGATATCACCCTAGACAGCTCCCAGATTGATTGGGACATTGGTACTACTGTAGAAGAAACAGAGGAAAATGGTAATGGATTTGGTCCTTATGAGATTGTTAATGCCATTGATACTGAGGCCCCTGTTTCAGAAATATCTTGGGATATTAATGTGGACAATCCCCAAGTAGATGTGGCTACAGAAGTTAACTTGTTGAATTCCTTATTGCACGTGAATGCTTCAACTGACGCCTACATCACTGGTAGTGAAAGGAGTCCTCTTCTGGAAACGGAATATAGGAATGGGATTCTTGATGATTTATTTGAGGTCAGTTGTATCTCCTAAACATTGAGTTTCACCATTGTTATCAGTTTATTATTATTGATTTCTCAATTTTATGTGATAAGTGTTCATCTTGTGCATGTGGAAAACAATGTTAGAATGTAGTGACTGTTTTGTAAATGATGTATTCTACCTATCAACCTTGTTGGCTAGATTTTCTACTAAACACTTATCTGGCTGTGCTGGGCGGAGCTGTTGATAATAGAAAAAAGGTTGTGCAAAATTTAATTTTTTTATAGCTGGGTTGATGAATTGAAAGACATTGACACTTTTAACATTTAATTTCATACCGTATTCTCTTTTCAAGTAAATATTTTTGTTAGATGATTCAACCAAACTTACCCTTTACCTAATCAGGCTCTTGGTGTTTGCGTGTTGTGACAAGTCCCTGGTTTTATTTTCTGTAACATGTTCCCTCTCTGTCTTTTTCCCATCACATATCAGGTCAAAGCATTTCTGAATCAACGGTTGATAGAGTTAACAAATGAAGAAACTCTTTCTTTGCAACATCAAGTACAGGCATTTGCACCTTTTGTGCTGCAACAGTTTACTTCTGATTCAATTCAAATGATGCTATCTGATATTTCCTCAGCTATATCTTTGCTGACAAATAGGAAAACTCGAGACATGATCATGATCCTCAACTCCAAAAGGTGCACTTTCTAGTCCATTTAATTGAGTGCATTCCACCCAAATTAATGACTTCTCTATTGGAGCATGCTTTAGGAGCTGCTTACGTGTGACCTAATGCGCATAAATGAAATGGTCGATTCATTAATTCAAATTTTAATTGTGACTTAATTGGAAACATAGCTTGTTCATTCAAAGAATAACTTACTTAATCACCAAGGCTTGTTATATTACTTATTCCTAGTAAGACATCAATCTTATCTTTTTATCTTTTTTTAGCTCCAATTTCATATATCGGTTTATGTTAGTTGACCCCAAACTCTTTTGGGTCCAACGCTTGCATGTTGTTGTTCGGAATAGATGTTATCATTACATAGTCACAAAGCAACCTAAAAATTTCCTTAAATTGGTTATTTTACACAATTCTGATGGTTTATTCAGCACAGAATGTAACAGTCTCTTAATCGAGGCATGAATCTTAATATCAACGTCTTAATGTAGCTGAGTCGTCTTAATCCATCCAGGACTCAATGAAAAAGATTAAACAGTCCCTTAATCCATCTATGAAACTTATTGAGACTTTTAAGATTGTAAAGGCAATGCTTTATATCCACTTTTGTGGAATGCTAATTTGGAAATGAAGCTGTAGACTCAAGATTAACTTTTGGTTAGAAACAGTAGTGTTCTTTAACTTTTTTAACAACCAGTGTTGGACAAGGTGCACTAAGGTGATAAACTGCCTGTGTTCCAGGAAATTAAGACCAGCATAAACTCTTAAAATGGAGAAAAGGTTTAGATGACATTGAAATTATAAGAAAGGGGAAAGGCCAAGTGGGAGAAAGAATCTAATGGGCGGTAAAGTTGTAATGAACTGAACCAAACCAAACTTTCATGATCTTGAGTTTGGTTCGTCTATGCTTTTCAAGCTTGAGTGTGGTTTGAGTTTGGTCCAGTTTTTTAATGCTTTAGTTTGAGCTTGGATCTTCACCAAAATATAATGTTTGTAAATTGTTTGAGCTCAGACAGGAATAGAAGTTTGAGCTCTGATCATTAAAAATATAAAAGCTCAAAATTAAGCTCCAACTGGATCTCAAACATAAATAAGCTGGATATATTATTAGATACATATATGTATCTCTGCATGTGGTGATTTTTTTCCAGGAATCCACTTACGAACGGAGCTTGTAAACGAGCCTATTAGCAAACTTTATCGTCTTTGCTGTTAACTTGAAAATGAATAATGAAAGAACTTTAACGAACCAAAACTCAAACTGATCACAAATGGTTTGGTTCATTTACACCCCAAATGGCTAGATTGTGACAGTAAGGTGTACCACCTGAGTTTCTTATGAGAAAATACTCACGACTTAGAGGACTACCTTAGTTTGTTTAAGAGGTTGTTTGGTTCAGGGATTTTGGAGGAAAGGAGAGGGGAAGGTTGATTTTTATTTTACTAATTGATCTCTATTAAGTTGTGGCTGAGACTAGAAGTAATTAAATGATAAGTAAGATCATGTATCCCTATATAGATTTTTAGTTATTTTATTCAAATCTCATAAATGCCAGAATGTAAATTTATAATTAAATATCACCCGCCCTCTTCCCTTCCCTCTAAATTATGTGAACCAAACTGCCCTAAGGTAAATATGTAAAGATACTATGTTCTGAAAACCTTGCAGAGTTTGTAAGTTCTTTTATTTGTATTCTTATGAGATCAGAATATGCAAGTGTTAGACTTATGAGGTCCTTGTTAATTTTTTACTGTCTCAAGTATAAGGTTTCCTTTTTTAGCTTCATTCATTTAAAAGTGCTATATTTTCTTTCGTGACTGGACAAAGACACAGACTCCCTCGCAATGCAACTTACTGATCTTTATCAATATTGACTGAAGTATTTTATTTATATTGTCAGATTTCTTGAACGCATGGTAAATACATTGGAGGAAAAGAAGTGGCATGAAGTTAAGCTAAAGGAGGGATTGAAGGACTTGGCTTCTAAACACATGGAACTGCAGAATTCTTTATCTTCATCCTGGCCAAAACAAGTAAGTTTGTAATCATCTTCACTTATTTTGACTTTGACTGGAAGCCAAAAAAAACAACGGAAGTAGCATGTTGGACTTGTCTAAATGCGCCTAAAGCTTGGCCTCTTTTCTCGTTTTGGCTCGACTCAAGCCTGTGTAGGTCCTAGGCCCCACTTATAGCTTAAGCTGACTAGCACTTTTTAAGAAAACTAGCCATGCAATAATCTAATGTTACTTTTGAAAGCGATATAATCCGTGTGTTGTGTTTATAACACAGGATGCGGTTATTGTGAGAACCAGGAAGTTGAAGGAGCTTTGTGAGAAGACAATTTCATCCATGTTTGATGGGCGGCCTGTCAATATAATCGGAGAGATTAATACATTGCTGACAAGTATCTGATTTCCACACACCAGTTCATAGATTTTGTGGTAATTTTGGTGGTAGCTGATATACGTTAAAGATAACTGAGACAATTTAACAGCAACTTTACCACAAGCTAGTGTACAAATTCATTGGTAGAAACTGAAATTTCCAGACTAGCTTGATAAATCCTGAATAAATTTGTTATACTGGTAACTCCTACGGAGTATAATAAAACACTTGAATAAAATGCATAGAACATCTTCTTTGGCATCGGTTCAACGGGCTGGACACGGCACAGTTTTTGGACTGGAATCCAACAGAAACTGTCAGCCGTCCTTTTGCTCGAAATCAAACTGAAAATCCAGTGTTCCAATCATAATTCGTCTTAAATTGGGTCAGAATTGGTGAGTGAACCGGATCTTGATTTGGTTAATCCGGTTTCTGTTATGATTTATGTTCTTTCAATGTGGACCGGAACTCCGGAAGTAGTCGGCTCGGATCTTTAAATGGCATGTGTCCAACAAAATTATGATTCAAAAGTTAGGACTTAGGAGATGTAGGTTATTTTTTTTCTTTTCGTATTTCTACCTCTTTCCCAAATTGGTAATTCTACACTTTTTTTAGCACTAAATTTATAAAAGTGGGATAAACTTGCTCAGTTATAAAATGTTACCCTATATCGAAAGTTTGAGTTAACTGTAAAGGTAAAGTTAAGAGTCTGTTTGAACGCAAGATAATTGAACGCCCTTGCGCACCGCACCTTATTGAAAGTTTCAAATAGCTGCTTCATGTAAACAATTATTTTTCCATAGGCTTTAAGTAATCGAAGGAAAAAACAAAACAAAAAAGATTATATGACTCCAAAAGGTCGCATTGTATCTTTAAAATAAAAACACTCGTACTTAATCGTACTTCATAAAGATTACGAATTTACGAGCAACATAAAGAGTCATACTTTATTTACATTTTTATGAAAGGAACAATGTTTAAGACATTATGAAAAATTAGTTAATTGGGTTGAAGCGAATCCGGGTTGTTTCTAAATTCTCTTTTATATATGACCTTAAATATTTATTTTATACTTATATATATAACACTGATATTTCAATGATGTATAGTATTTGCGTACATTAGATGTATCTGAAAATTTTCAAAATAGGATATCCTATTTAACTATTTTGTAATTTTGTAAGAAGTCGGGATACTTGGGTTCCACACTTCCACATGTATGATGTTTGATTTAGGGGTGTTTGGAACTGATTCTGCTTCTGCTTCTTTTTTAAAAGCAGAAGCAGAATCAGAATCAGTTTTCAGAAGCTGGTACCCCCCAGCTTCTAAAAAAACTGATTCTGAGATTAAATTAGAGCTCCAGAAGTGCTTCTGGAATTTCACCCAAACACTCCAGCTTCTACTTCTGCTCCTTGAAAGAGCAGAATCAGTTTTGAGAATCAGATCCAAACACTCCCTTAAAAACATTACACTATTCATGGATGTTTGTATCTTTTAAAATTTACATAGTAAACCAAAGCTTCAAGACAAGTAGACAACGAACCAAATTGTTATTAATAAATTAAATACTGGTGCACTAACTATTGAGATTGGTTAGTCCCCGGGCCTCTCTTAAGATCTTCGGTTATTCCTAGGGCTCGGCCGCTAGGGTTAGTATCTCCGATCTCGGATCTTTACCTAGGATCGATAATTGCATAGCAAGGGAGAAGATTCAGGCGAAGAGCAGTCCGGATTCGTAAGGGCGAAGAGCGAGGGGCAGAATCGAGGAAGCCGTTTCGGACGAAGAGGTCACTGCATGGAGGATATTGTTGCTTCGTATAAGAAGATGTTGATGAAGGAGCAGGATAATGAGCTGAATTTCGACGAGGAGACAGAGGAGGACGGCGAGGAGGAGAAGGAACCGACGTGCTTTCCGGTGGTTGGGGTTGTCATCACCGACCGCAAGGTTAAATTACCTGGGTTTCAAGAGTTGATGACTTCTATTTGGAAATCGGGAAAAGGTATGTCTATCAAAGAGATTGGCGAAAGAAGGTATCTGCTAAACTTAATCATGTTTTGGATATGAACCGTGTGATTGAGGATGGTCCTTGGCTTTTTGAACGGGATTTAATACTGTTGAAAGCTGTTCAACTAGATGATATACCTGAATCGATGAATTTATTTGAGGCTAGTTTTTGGGTACAGGTTCATAATGCCCCTATAAAGTATAGGAATTTGAGATCAGTCAGGAAATTTGGTAAATTTTTAGGCTCTTATCAAATTTGAGATGAGTCAATTTGATGGAAAGCAGAACTCTTATCAACATATAAGGGTGTGTCTGGATGTTCGTCAGCCTTTGAAAAAAGGTACTAATTTGACACAGGATGGGGTGAAACATTGGGTAGATTTTAAATACGAAAAACTACTCAGTTTTTGCTTTATTTGTGATATAATCGGACATTTTGATAAATTCTGTCCATTGAAGTATGAAGAGGGCTTCGTAGCTGAAAAAACATATGGGGTGGGACTTAGAGCAGGAGGAAGGGTGAAGACCAGCCCAACAGGATTCAACAAATGGTTATCTGATGGAGCCTCTAGTTCAGATGGATATGGAGGTCAGCGGAAGGCTGATATTGGGGGAGAGTATACGGCCGAGTCCAAGACTAGCAAGCCATCATAGCATGAGATTGAAGACAAGGAAGAGACTCCTGGAGACCCAAAGCGCAGAAGGATATGGGATAGTCAGACTGAAGAGTGTACCAATAGCGAAGGAATGGCTCTGGATGGGCCAAAAAATGGGGAGGGGGCTGGCCAAGTCTCTTAGAACCCGCCGTGTCTTCATTTGGTGGTGGTGGGGAAGAAAACAAGTGATGATGTTTTTCTTATTGCCTGTTTTGTTTATTTTAATTTCGGATGCCTTGTTCTGTTTTTGTTTTGTATTTTCATTCCTTGTAAGACTCTTGCATTAAGGTTGGGGGATGGAAAGTCTGCGGTAACCGTCATTGGCTTTAAGTTGCCCAATTTTGGTCTAGTGAGTTATACTGCTTTTATACAGGTGGTTAACTCTCAGTCTCGGCCACAAGCGGATGGTTATATGTGGTTCTTTTCTAGTTATGTACCCTTGGTGAATGCTATTTTTATGAAATAAGCCTTCTTCGAGCAAAAAAATAAATAAATACTAACTTAACAATCAATGAAATATACTGAATTTTCATGTATAATTAAGAATAAGAATTGATACACAATTTCAAGAATAATATTGGGAAAGTTCCCGAAATAGGACTAAAATAGTTAGAAAATTCCAAAATAGGGCTGTCATGTTTTTTATTCCCAAAATAAGAGTAATTACTGTCATGTTTGGAAAATACTGCCATGTTTGAAGTTTGGTACTGCCAAAACATGGCAGTAATTAGTCCTATTTTGGGAATAAAAACATGGCAGTCCTATTTTGGAATTCTCAAACCTTTTTAGTCCTATTTCGGATAATATTCTCTTTATATTTATATTTTCTATACAAAAATCATATAGTTACACATAAGTCATTATGATTGATAATTCACTTTCACTTTAAAGAAACACACTTATACTTAACATAGTTGCCCATCTCGCACAAATTTCATTCATGTAACTTTAAATTTATTATTCCATCTATTCGAAATGCTAATCAACCATGGTTAAATTTCATGTGGAAGGGGACGTCTTTCAAAAGGTAAAATAAAGTCATATATTTATTTAATTCATAAACAAACAAGAACAGGTTACGTCAACAAAAATCTTTGCTTGAAAAGAGGGGCCAACCTCCTTATCTACCACACACCTGCTAGTTTGACCTTTTGACATATATCTAGAATGAAGAGTCAAGACTTCAAAGGTTCTTCATTTTGTGATGTAACCAACTCAGATGAATCACTTGTTCGGCGCTCAACTCATCATTTACTCAATATCCGTATTTGATTTGCATTTTCTAAATGCTCTCTCTGTCTATCAAAATTTTGTCAATTTTGATGGATATAAGAAATAATAAAGTAAAGAACTATATGATTGATACTTGTGCATATATATGAGAAAGAAACAATAAGAATTACAAATTAATTGATTAAAAGAAGAAGTGACAAAGTTTTTGAGATAACAAAAAAAAGATGATAGAATTATATGGGACGGAGGGAGTATGCTATAGTACCTAGACGAGATTTTGGGAGTGTTCGGTTACTCTCATCCCTCAAGGGGCGGGTAATGCATTTGAGATGCGAATATTAGGGGTGGGCGAGATCTAGAACGACCAAATAATTATCAAAACTCGTATCATATCATGAGATTTTAAACGTTCGTACGGTTCAATTTTAGAGTTTATACTGTTTGATATCATAACCTTTCGGTTCGGTTTGTTACGGTGTGATACAATGTCATACTAATATAATACTAGTAAATTTAAAAAAAATCTACAATCTCAACATATAATCGGTATTTGAGGATGTTTACTTCTAACAAATACGAAGTACGAAGTATAATGTATGTTTTTATTTTTTCAAAGGAGTTTCTCTTTCTTAGAACAATATGCAATCTGGACTCTAGTAAAGAAACATATTGACTGATATACTATATATCGTATGTATTAACACATCACTTTAGAGTTAACAATAACACGTACAACCAAAATTATGCACCGAAGATAATGCTATCATTAAAACATAAATGTTCCCATCACCTCTATTTGGTTCTCTGTATTTAATATTGGTCCAACGCATAGTATTCGGCTCTCTATATTTAAAACCGGTCAAGTATCCATTTCAAATGGTACGATTCTGACTCACTGTTCTATTTGAAATGTTTGGTGTACACCTTTTTGTGTACATCTTTGGCACACTTTATCTATCTACATAGATAAACTGTTTGTATACAGAGTGATTACAGACAATATTTGTATTTCAATACAAATTGTTTGTATACAAACAACTTTATTTGTGAAGACAGACAAAGTGTAACAAAGGTGTACAATATGCATTTTTTTTAATTCATTATGCCTTAGACATGCATGTGAAGCTTGGTGTAATCGTTTCAAAATGCACCATGCAATTGCTCTTAGAGGCACATCTTAGTCTCTTAGACATGTTTAGCAAATTGTGCCTTAGACATCTTAAGGAGTGTATGAGTTTGCTTAAAAAAAGCGTTTTTCAGTTTTTGGCTTAAAAAAAGTTGAAAAGAGTGTTTTCAAATGACAGCTTCTGCTTAAATTAATCACTTAAAAGCTAAAAGCTGGAAGCAGGTAGAAGGGTGCTTTAAACTGCTTCTCACTTTTTCTAT